TATATTAATAAGCATTTTTAGGTTTGGAGGTTGTTGGCCTCGTTGAAATTTGTTCCTCCGCCGCTTGATAAATTACAGTAACACGATCATCATTTATCTTACTAAATTAATTAATTAATTAGCCAAATTGATATGGTACTACAGCAATGCCGTTTTATCTCACAGTAAGAATCACGTAAATTTATTTTAAAAAATGGGTTTAAAAAATACTATTATTATTATTTTGGGACGATAGAATATTGTTGTACCATAGATTGTTTTTTCTCGGCAGACTTTGCCACTATGGATTACTATATGTATTTCAATTATTGAAAAGCATTCCAACTATTAGAGATAAAATAAATTGTTATTGGCCTTAGGTAAAAAAAATACATTGAGAAATTTAACCATGCTGTCTTCACTACTTGACAGTTGACATCGAACAAAAGTTTCAAGTTGGTAAAAAATTTTCAAGCAGGAAAAGGCTATTCTATTGTTAAAGCTACTTTTTTGCTTGGTTGACACTTCAAATTTTAAAGTATATATCCGTTTTTCTTTCCTCAATGGAAAGGAAATATATGTTTATGTTTTAACAAAGCATTATTAGGTAATCTTCAACTTTTATGAATTTCAACAAAGGTGTTACCCAACTTCCATTGGCTCAACTCGTCCAATTGAAAGATAGAAAAGTTTGCTTGAGGGGTTTTGAGAGAGATGGACAATGTATTCTATTCACACCCATTTGCTGCTTCTTTTTGTCCTAACTAAAATGTAGACTAAAGAAGATAATTCACCTAAACATGTTTGAAACAAGGGGGGAAAAGAAAAGATGGAAACATCAATCTTTGCATTATTTGGTTCCTGTTCAGATTTTTTTTTTTTTTTTTTAAAAAGTGCATTATTTGGTTCCACTTGTGTTGATTGGACATTCTGGTCACGAAAAAAATACTCCTTTCGATCTTTAATATAAGACATTTTGATTTGTCTTAGGTTTAATCTAATACACATTTTTAATCGACGAAAAAACCTTAAAAATTTTTCTTAACACTCAAGAGAACGCAACGAACGTGAAAATATATGTTTAAATTTTTTTTTTGTGAATTAAAAATGTGTATTAGATGAAACAGAAAAAGTCAAAATGTTTTGTAATAAGGACCGGAGGGAGGGAGTATTGCACGTGAGATGATCGGTTTGTAGTTTGAGTTTGAAGTTGGAGATTAATGAGAGGAAAAGCAATTCATGAATAATTTTTTTATGAAAACCAACAGTGATAAGCCTGCTGTGTCCTACGTAAATTAGTACAAAAGTTATAGGTTTGATTTTTTGTTTTATTACAGTTTTTCCTAAGTGAAGGTTTGTAACACCTGATAATTAAACCATCGTTTTGACAGATTAAAACCAAATTGACTGGAGTGAAATGGTTGGGTTCAAAAAGGTGTAAGCAGTTGAACTGCTTGGTAGAGTTAATTAGAATCAACTGAAATTAATGTTCTTCTAGAAAGAATCTAAATTTACAACGAGGCAAAACTGAAAATCCAACGTTAAACTCTTTTTTTGGTTTTTTAAACAACTTATAACAAGTAGTAGTAGTATTGATTAGTTTTAATTTATGCCTTTATTGGACTAGAGAGAGTATAGTAGTACTATTCAATATAAGTTGTTTATGCATTTTCATTTTTCCAATACTCATTAACATAATTGTATACATTTTCATTTTTTAGTACTGGTACACAGGTTTCACCACCGACTTCACGTGTTGACTATAAGAAAAGCGAGTCAACATCGGGTCTCAATCTGGCCCATACGCACGTCTTCCATGCATTCAAGCTTCCAAAAGAGTCAACAAACATTTTTGGGTTTGGGCTAATCCCTTAGATTAAACGGTCTCCGCCGCCTCATGTCTGTAAGAAGCTTATTATTTCTGGTTAATCATGCTTTGCATTCTCCCTTTTATTTTATTTTTTCCCGGTTGCCGTTAGTTTGTTAAGGTCTTAAGGAGTGGTTAATGGGTTTCCTCAATCGCCTGTATGGGAATGGAGTTATTCCTGAAAATCAGGGTATTCGTCTCAAAATCACCGTACAACAACGATAATCAGTGAAGTTTTATTAAGAAATCAGAGTTTAGACCAAATCCAAATGGAACTGCAATTACATAATCGGGATAGAGATCATTTTTCGATGTTTATAAGGTCAAAAAGTTGCATTCTGTCGTGTAAAAAAAAAGTTATACTACAAAGTAGAAAACAGAAAACACAGGATTAACGTGAATTACTAGAGAATTACAGCTTACGTATAAGTGGAGAAAGAGAGAGGAGAGAGTCAAAGAAGTTATCCACCTTGATTATATCTTTTTGACTAATCAGCCTTCTTAGCTATAGAAGTTTCTGTTCCATGTTAATCCCACGAGCACTTTACAAAGTTTACAATAAGTCAAAAAGGTCAAGGAAACATGTACATATTACTAGCTACATGATCTAGAATGCAGATTGGTACCAAGGCTGACCTCAAAATGTATCGTTAGCTCCAAAAGAAGCATATTCCCAAGTTCCTCTACAACCCACAAAAACTAAAAAGACGAACGAACGACATGATTGAATTTGGGGTAATGTGCCAAAAACCTTCCCACGTTAGATCAATACCTGATTCCGGATCTGAAAAATTCAGACAACATCATGTTCAAACTTACATTTTCAGACTTTGTAAACTCTAATTACGGGCGTACCATCTCAAAAGTTCCTGACAATTGTAGGTAGATTATGGCAAAGGTTACCCTTTTTCCGAGATCTAATTTCATTAGAACTTCACAATATATATCATTTATTTACTTGAAATGGAAGAAAATTAAACACTGTCTGTTTTAAAATAATACGCTCATAATTTTCTTCATCCATGATCATACATTCTAATTAAGTTACACTTCGTTATATTACTAACTAGCGAGAGCCAACAAACAAAATAGGTAAACTAAAAAGATAACATTATTTTAACAAGAACAGAGTTTTTAAGTATGATGTAGTGTCGAGGCATAAGGTGTGTAGTAACATGAGAATTTCAAACGAAATATTGAATGATTGAATTAATATGAACTGTTGGTGTGCGTGGAGAATCTAGAATGGGTTCTTATGATAATGTTCCTTTAACATATCACCTGAAAAAGCCCCTTTTTATAGCGAAATAAATCACATCACTTCTTTGTAATGAATTTATCAAAAAAAAAAATTATAGTAAATGAAATATATCAATAAGAACATTTCACAAAAGAGAGATGAAAAGAAAATTAGATGGAGTTTTAGAGCTCATTTTATACTACTAGCAGACTAGAAACCCCAGGTTGAAATGACTGCTATAAGCCCATTTTCATTGGGCTCAAGAAATAATCCCATTTTGTATCAGAAGTCCAAATGCACCCACTGTTCTCTTTCATAAGCAGCCCAACCCCGGTACTTGAAAAAATCAATTTCGACTCCGTTTATGGCAATGGAATACCAGCGGCAAAAATTTCTTATTCTTTTTTCTTTCTTTACCCCTTAAAACAACTTTATACTTCACGTACTACATAGTATTAGATTTTGATTTATTCTTAAAAATTCATCCAATAGTTGTAAGGTAGATAGTAAATTATTTCTATAAAAAAATAAATGAATTTCAAACACTTTTATTATGTGTATATGTGTTACACAACGAGTTTTGAAATTTACATTAAAAATAATACATATTTTAAAATTTAATATGGACTATTTTTTTTGGAGAAAAAGGTACAAAAGAGTCACGTAGGTTGTTTATGTATGATGCTAGCTATTTCGGATGACGTCTACTTTATTATCTACGATTTTGTATATTGTCATATTATATTTAGTCTCCAATTTCATTCCTATGTGCTTTCTTCTTTTCTCTGTTTTTTTTTTCTTATTTATTTATATTAGAGTTTGACTTTTGATTCGAAGAAGATATCTAAGTTCATTTTATTCTCATTTTAATAGTTGCTCTGTCAAACTAAAATAATAATAACATAATATAGACAATAGATAAGACAGGTAATTGCATAAAAGATTTGATGAAAATGAGAAAAGGCATAATAAAAAGTTCACTTGTAAATATAAAAATGTTAGCTGTATCCACACAAAAAAAAAAATAAAAATTAAACTCTTTTGGTTAATGTGGTAAAAGTATTAGGTCAATTGGGATACATTGCTAATTAAAATATTTGTTGAATGGTTTTTTTTTTCTTTTTTCTATCTGAAAAATAATCTACTCGGTTCGAATCTTAGATTAGTCGAAATAATGATTTCAGACATCCTATATAATAGACAAAGCAAGAGAAGTATTAATTTTTTAAAAAAATGAAACATGATTATCTAGTTCAAAATTTTATTTTAATGCAATTTACATAAATCAAAAGTAAAGTCCAAACTAAAAATTCATTCCCAGAAGAAAGTAGCAAATACGAATTTGTATATTCGTGTGGGAAACAAAAGAAAAAGTAGACATCACCATCAAGCCACCTCAGCATTTTATAAATCATCATTATGTAAAAACCTTATAATCGAAGTTATCATCCTAAATTAACCCCAAAATAAAGTTACCAATGAGCAGACTATTGTCTATGGCCCCCTTTATCAATCATCATCTTTTTTTCGGTTTTTCCTTCATTACCACAGTCCCACAGCTATTCAGTCATTCAGTGCCCCCACCAAATTCCATCATTCATCCTCATCGCCTAAAATTTTCATCACCTCTGGCCATATGGGTTTGCATAATTGCCGTGTTACCTGCCACTTCCTCAAAGCCAATTTGGATTCCATAACCAAAATTAGATGGCAAAGGACCTGAAGATAAAAATATCATCTTTATAATTATGTCCAGGTACGAATGACATTATTAATTGTTACTAATAATGTTTAATCAACTCTGTTTAAAAAAATCGATTTCAAATGTGAATTTATAAGGACAATGATTTCGAATAATAAATGTTAACTTAAATTTTTTTTTTTTAAAAAAATATTATGTACATAGTATAGTGTCTGAAATTATTGCTGCTACTAATTCCATTCGAATCGGATATGTCTCTTAATTAAGAAAAAGGAAAGAGAGAGCGCGTGCAACGTCTGCTCGCTCCCACTTTGGAACAGTGAATCCATGTATGCCACACATAGGATCTCGGCTGAACATTAAAATAACATTGTTCACAAGAAGTTAGTCTTAATGTAGTCAAAAACTCAAAACCGACCTTTATTGCTTACTACCAAAATTCCTCGAAAGAGAAAAAAATTCTGCTACCATCCCTCTCAAAGACAGCTGCTTTCCTCCATCCTCATCAACCCTCACTTTGATGATCTCTCCAACTCTTTGAGCTTCATTCTCATGTCCAAGCTTCAATCTTTGTTCAATTATGTTAAACTTCTATTAACATCAGCTTTCTGAAACATTACACGTGTTCCAGGTACGCTTTATCTTCAATTTTATTTGGTGTTGTAAGATGAATACCACATAATTCTCTAGACTTGTACCCATAAGAAGCTAATGAGTGATTTGATTGATGAGAGGAATTAGGGATATCGCTGCTTTTGAGGTGCTTTTTGTACTTGTTTTGCTCTATTATCCCTTTGGATGAACTGATTAGGAATTGAATTTTGGGTGATTTTGTGCTTTAAAGTTAGGAGTCCTATTAGTTCTTAATAAAGTTTACTTCTTTACCCATTTGATGATTTAGGGGCTGAGCTTAATTTGATGGATGTTGCAAGTTTGAGAAATTCATAGATGTTGATTTTGTTTTGGCTGTTTATCATTTGAGGTTTGAGTTTTGGTATATCTAATTGAAGTTTCAGGAGTAATTCTTCTGCATAAAACTGCTTTTGGTTGGAATTTCTGGAGGGACATCAAACAGGAGTAAAGCATTTGTTGTGTGGTCAGTGGTGTTTCGTTTTACTCGATATATATAAGAAAAGAAGATGCAGAGGGTTCGAGTCTCCTCCCACCAAGCTCCAGTGCATAAGCTAGGAGATACTCAAATGACTCTGTCACCAAAGTTTAGGGTAGCTACAAAGCAGTCAGCTCTGTTAGATCCTTCTCTAGACAATGAATTATGCCTCAGGGGTGAATCTCTAATTCCGGGACTTCCTGATGATGTTGCTCTGCACTGTCTTCTTCGAGTTCCAGTCGATAATCATAAAGCATGTAGGGCTGTTTGTAAACGTTGGCACTCGCTGTTTGGAAGTAAAGAGCGTTTCTTTACATGTAGAAATGAGCTGGGATTTTCTGATCCTTGGCTTTTTGTGTTTGCCTTTCACAAATGCACAGGAAAGATTCAATGGCAAGTCCTTGATCTCACTCACTTTGCTTGGCATACAATCCCCACCATGCCTTGTAAGGACAAAGTCTGCCCTCATGGATTTAGGTGTGTCTCGATTCCCTGGAAAGGTGTGCTCTTTGTGTGTGGCGGAGTGGTGTCTGATGTGGATTGCCCTCTTAATTTAGTACTGAAGTATGAGGTGAGGAAAAATCGTTGGACAGTAATGAAAAAGATGATCACTGCGAGGTCATTTTTTGCGAGTGGAGTAATTGATGGGATGATTTATGTGGCTGGAGGGAATAGTGCGGATCTTTTTGAACTTAATTCTGCCGAAGTCTTGGATCCTATCCAAGGTTCTTGGCGTCCGGTTGCAAGCATGGGAACTAACATGGCGTCATACGACACTGCAGTTCTAAACGGGAAGCTTCTAGTTACCGAAGGCTGGTTTTGGCCCTTTTATGTCGTGCCTCGGGGTCAGGTATATGATCCAGACACTGACCATTGGGAGAATATGGCCATTGGACTCCGAGAAGGCTGGACTGGGTCAAGTGTAGTGATCGATGGGCACTTGTTTGTGGTTTCGGAACATGAAAGGACAAAGCTTAAGGTGTATGACACGAAAAGTGATTCTTGGGAGTTTGTTGAAGGACCTGCTTTGCCAGAGCAGATATGCAAACCATTTTCTGTCAACTGCTGTGATTCGAGAATATTCATTGTTGGTCGTGATCTTCATGTTGCTGTTGGTTTTATCTTCAGGAAGTATACAGGAAACACCTCCGCGGAAAAGAACTACAGCTTTTCAGTTCGATGGAAAGTGGTAGAGGCACCTCAACATCTGACTGACTTGACACCTTCGAGTGCACAGATTCTGTTTGCTTAGCTCTAAAGGGTGTTCAACTTTGTAGTGTAACTTGTGAAATTTGTGTGTAAAAGAATTTAGGTTTATCGTGCATAATCTTGTGTGACTTCTACAGCATGTCTTGACGGTACTCAAAACCTGCTAGAAATGGTGCTGCATAAGGCAGATCATAAACGAGCTGGTTTCTTCTTCAATGTATTTGTATTGTATGTTTAACATACAAAAAAGGATAATTTCTAACACTTTAGTATTCACGGTTTGAAAGCTACAATTGTTGAAATTCTGACAATCTGAATATGAAGTTTTTTATGTGTTGTTGAAAATTCGAATGAGGAACTGGCCTCAGAAAGTAAAAGACATGGTTGAATTGGCAAAAGGCCCATTTACATTTTAGGTGCAATCTGGCAATTTGTTGGGCCATCAACAGGCCCATATATAAAACATTGTCATCTTTGATTGACAGTATGTTAATAGGAGGAACCTCCTAATACTGCCAATAGATTACTTAATTCTCATATAACCATCAACTGAAAACAAGCTTATTATTTTGAGAATTTTGGTAAAACAATGAAGAACAAAGTAGAATCAGAGCTTCTATATGAGAAGGCTTGTGGTAGCAAAGCAAGATTCTTGCAGGCAATTTGGAAGACGATCTCTGGTATTGCTGAAGTTATCGTTGATTCGGTGCTTTGATGCAGATCAACAAAGGGAAATGGTTTTTTGGGTCTTCAGATTTGGTCAAAGTAGCTATTTTACCGTAAAAGGTCTTTATCATTTGTTATGTGCTAGGAAATGATGTAACTTTAGGCTTTTAGCCTCCACAATATATATATAAAAAAAAACAGTATGTTAAGTTTTAATTTTTAAACCACCATTAACCTAAAAGACAAACTTGATCATGAATTCATGATATGAGTTGACAACACTCCAGGATCCATGGGATGTTCCCCTCTTTTTTTCTTTTTTTTTTTCTTTAAGAAAACGATAGAGCGAAAAAAAAAGAAAGAGATTAAGGTGAAATTGTACTGAAGGCCATGTCGCAGGTGCGTTAATCAATATCTTGAGCTATACGAATGAAGACTATCAACTGTCTGTTGTATTAGTAAGAGCCATAATTTATGGAAGAATTCGAAACATGAACATTTTTCTTTAAACAAGGAGATCTTAGAATGGGTATAAATCAATACTTGTAAGGTGTGAAATTGATCCTCGTTGATGTGTGTGTCTAGAGAATGTGTTGTCATGATCCATGAATATGGGGTGATGGCACTTGAAACCAATAAGTGGCATGGCACACAATGTTATATGTTCCTCCAATCCACAGCATGTCGGTTTTCCGTGTTCTATGGCTCACCATTATTTGTATCATGTGAGTTTGTATTGTAGGCCTTACGGCATCTTCTGATCTTCATCATCTGCCTTCCTTTTGCTTCGGCTTTTATTTCCTTACCATTTTTATGCTCGCTCAAAAATTAAGATGCTGGAATGTTTTCAAAGTAACTAAAATTTTCCTGATTTTGAAGCCCATGGAACTTTTAGAAAGTGATAGGAGCGCAATAGGGAAATGAAAAAGGGTGGGGTTTAAGAAAGATGTATCTTCCATTCCCTTTTTTATGTTGGCAGCCGCGCCACATGAGGATTATGTCCAAATCCAACACCTTCACCTTTTCTTTTCTTTTCTTTTTTTCACTTCCAAAATTGTCATCTCCACTCACTCAATTTTTTATTCCAAAACTGCTCATGCGTGTTTCCAATCTAGAACCATTAGATTTTTTGTGTGTGTTTGTTTTGAATGCTCCATCCGTACCAAAATTATTGTTCCAATTTAAGATTTCACTTTTAATTTAAAGAGGGAATATGTTTTATTAGCACAGAAGAACAATGAAATGTTTGTTAACGAGTTTTGCCTACAATACTTTTTTGTCCCAACTATTGAATAGATTTTCTTTTAGTTTGGATAAAATATTTTCCCAATTTGTGCCTATAGCTGGTATTTTTCCATGCATATGCCCGAGCTATTGATTAGTAGTAGATTTAAAGACAGAAAAAAAATATACTGTATTTATTTATTTTTAGAGTTTAATTTAAGTTGTCAAAGATAATACTCCCTCCGTCCCATAATTATTATCCAGTTTTACTAAAATGAAAGATTTTATTTTTGGTCAAACTTAACTATATTTTACCTTAAACAACCGGATATACCCCTACATAAGTAATTGTTTAACCACTAAGATTTTATGGATAATATTTTTTTACTAAGGACAAATGTGTAACTTGATCCATAAAAAGTCAAATTGGACAATAATTTTGGGACAAAATTTTTTGGACAAAGTGAACAATAATTATGGGACGGATGGAGGGAGTACAATTTGGCTTCTTATTTAGATGATGATGAGAATTCCCCACATCTCACGCGTTGATCACGTGTCATTAGAATTCTTCCTACCCGCGTTTTACAATTTTACGTGTCGTGTACTGATTTGTTATGTGACTCGACGACTACAAATTACCTTCCGCCAAACACAAAAAAAAAAAAAAAAAGAAAAAAAAAAGAAGAATCTCCCTTTTCCTTAATAATGTTTCATTATCCATTTCCTCGAAACACAGTGCAAACAACAATATATTGAAAACTTAGCCCACAAGGAATTATTTCCCCTGCGTTATCAATTTAGCACATTTTCATAGCATATTCTTTTAGGCGGGTTTTCTTTGCATGGTTGTCAATATGATGAAACGGTCGCGGCGGCCGGCAGCCGATGCATCGGCGAAGTATGAGGTGAAACTCAAATCTATTAAGCTAGAAATGGAGTTCGGAGACGAACAGGGAATTTATCACGATGATGATCATCATCGGCACAAAGTTATGGGAATTAAGCTGAAATGGAAAGGCGAACCGGCCGCCCAGTTTGGAATATTCCCGGCCGTCATCCGGGCGTTTACTAGTTATCATCAACAACGACGTAAGGCTTTCACGAACGAAAAACCGATGGTGATCAGGAAGGTTGCCGGAGGCGGTGGTGGAAGACGGGAGGCGGTTGTGGAATGGGATCACGAGTTTGAGAGTAGTACTGTTTGTAGCTTTACGGTTGATTTCGATGATCGGAAGTTTGGTCGACGACGTCCTTGGGAACTCTCTTTCAGTGTTTTGCACGTAAGTTGGATTAATAAATTCCAATGTTTTGATATTGTTGTGTTATGATTTTGAGTTCAATATGATATTTTGGGTTGAATCTGAAATTAGGGGTTTGAGAAGAAGAAAAAGAAGACGAAGATTGGAAAGGCGATATTGAATTTAGCTGAATTCATCAAGGGGTCTGATGATCATCGTAATGGAAATGAAGCAAAACTGCCTATTAATCTCAATTTTGAAGGTGCCTCCACGCAAGCTACTTTACTGGTGAGTAACTTTAACTCCAACATGTTTAGTTCCAATATAATGCATATTCTCAAACTATTTAAATGAAATCACATATATATTTTAGTTACTAAATTGTATAATCTTTTGTTTTATTTGCGGTTTATACATTTGTGGGATCTTCTATTTTTCAATACCAATGGCTCCATTCCACTTATGAAATATCATGTAGTAAGTAAATTTTAACGTATTGCATATTCATTTTGAGCCATTGGGGGATAATTTAGGGAGTTACCTAGGATGGTTTCAAACACTCTCGTCCTAAAATTATCGACCAGTTTAAATTTTTTATTTTTAGTTGAAATTATGTTGAAAATAAATTTCTAAAGTGGGTAATGATTTTAGGACATAAGAGTATTTAGTAGAAAAGCATATTCCAGAGGAAAATTGACATTGTGATGAATTGACCTTTAATTTGCCTTGAATTGAGTACTCTAAATGACCATGTCGTAGACACCATAATTCATTATCCCAATGACCAAGTTATACTTTGACTAGATCGGTTTTGCTAAAGTTGGGTAATAATACTATCATTGTATACTATGTGGTCCAAGATTGACCTCATTATATTACACAATAAAGTTTCTTGATTGTTTCATTAGATTAATTTACTAATTAATTAATTAATTAATTAGTGTTAGCTGAAGTCGTTATTCAACTTTGGGTTGTTGATGATATGATAATAAACAAAATAATATTGAAGAAAAACTTTATGGCGCCCACTTTAGTTTGTTCAAATTAACCTCTCTAGTTGACATATTCTCCCTTTAATTTGTTGAAATTTACCAGTAGATGACACATTCGTTTGTTTTACATGATCTTTTCGTTCAATATTAAATGATCAACTGTTACAAAGTAAAATGGTCAACAAACATGACCATATGAAAGTTTTATTTTCTTGTCCCACTTAGCTGTTTTAATGAAGAAACTGTTATAATTAATTAGCTTACTTTATTTTTATTTTTTTTTGGTACAATGTTATAATTAGCTTACTTGAATGGAATAACCTGCAGGTGAGATTGGATATTGTCGAGATTAAAGATTATTCAAGACAAGTTTCTAACTCGGTTGAATCAAGTGGGCTATTGCATGGACCGGAACTGAAGAAACTGGACAAACCAGTCCGGTCAAAATCAGCAAAAATAAGAAGTACTTCAGGAGAACCATATTTGGAACCAGACAGGAAAATTGGAATTTTCTCTTGGAAAAAGATGAGATTGAGCTTTAAATCATCCACCATTACAACAATTGAAAATGACAATAATCATGAAACTGATGTTGATCCACCAAAGGTAATAAACTACTTTTCATATAAAGGTCACCTCTTTTAGATTGTTAGTCTACTTTGAAAGAAATGCTAACAAGTATTCTATATGAATCTGAATGATCCTTATTAGGTTGAAGAAGATACAAATGGCTCATGGGAATCGAAAGAAATAACGAGTAGGGATGGACTAACAAAGCTAAAAACCGATGTATTCTTTGCTTCTTTTGATCAATGCAGCAATAAGGCTGCAGGAGAAGGTGCTTGCACAGCCTTAGTTGCCTTCATCGCGCATTGGCTCCATGTAAACAACGAGACAATGCCTAATCGGCCTGAATTCAACGATCTCATCCTGCAAGGCTCATCCGAATGGCGAAAGTTATGCGAAAATGAATACTACACCAATGATTTTCCCAACAAGCACTTTGATCTTGAGACCGTGTTGCGTGCTGATATCCGGCCTATATCCATTTCTCGGGATGATTCTTTCGTAGGATTCTTTGGTCCTGAAAAGTTTGAAACTCTCAAAGGCGCTATGTCATTCAATGATATTTGGGATGGCATCGTTGAGAGGATTCAGAAAAACCGTGATGGCGAGCCGGGGATCTACATTGTGAGTTGGAATGATCATTTCTTTGTGTTGAAAGTGGAGAGCAATGCCTATTACATTATTGACACTTTGGGTGAAAGGCTGTTTGAGGGATGCAATCAGGCTTACATACTGAAATTTGATGACTCAAGTTCGGTGTATGGAACAAAAGATGATCAAATGGAGATGATTTGCAGTGGGAAAGAATGTTGTAAAGAGTTCATCAATAGATTTCTCGCGGCTATACCAATCATGGAACTCGAAACAGAGGAGGAAAAAGGGCCGGTTTCATATTATTCCTTGCATCATCGCTTGCAGATAGAATTGAACTCCACTGTTTTGCTTTCCTCTCTGAAATCATCCCCCTTTTCTTCCTCATCAAATAATTCAGATGAATCTTCTTGTTCAACTGATGAATGTATATAACGGGACATTTTCGCGTAGTAGCACTGTACATGATTGAGGTTGTTTGGTGTACATAGACATAAGCCGAGTATATTTGACAGTTGACACCCCTGAAATCCATTCTTTCAAATATCTGCATTTGTATGCAATAAGTCATTTTTTCATGTCACATGGTACTTTCCAGTTTCCCGTCATGATCATTGATCAGTAGTATTACTATGTAAAAAAGTGGTTCAGGTGATACTCCATTAAGTTGCTTTATTCCTCCCATATGAAGTCATTCTGGGGCTAATTTTCACAGTTCTGAAGCAAAATGTACCGAAGGGCAAAACAAGAAGGCTACAACCAGTCAATCCTAGCTTTTAATTTTTATACAAAAGTTGCAGCACTTACTGTTTTTAACAACCTGCGGTCACAATTACTACATACTGCACTAATTTAAGTGAGTTGCAAGTGTCTAAGATTCTCTGTTAATCCGTTCTGCTGAATTGCTTAAATGGGATCTTCTGTGGCCAACAAAATGTCCTATCATCTGCTGATGCATGACTAGCTTCTGGCTTCCTCTTTCTCAAACTCACCTGATCAGCATTTTGCTTTTGAGCCTCGAGAATCCATTTCACAGCGGAGCAGCATTCTGGATTAAGATGATCAACGTCGCCTTTCTTAGGAAAGAACGAAAATTCATGATCGTCCCCTCGTGGCAAAGGCTTATCTAAGCCATCATTATCACAGGAGTTGATTCCAACTTCATTCTCCAGGCATGATGAAGCCTCTAGAGGGCCTAATCGCAACGACAAATTGCATCCGGTTCCAGGTGGTGTATCAGGGCTAAGCTTGGAATGATCAATATTTGAACCATCCAGTACCCTGGAAGAATGCAGCTTCTTTTTCACCACATAATCTTCATTGTTATTAACCTTCTGGATAGGGGGCAACGACTTGGGGTCTTTAAAGTGCAGCTCTTTTCCATAGTACAGTGGGTAAACAGAACAAGAACTAGGGAAAAAAGTATCAAGGTATTTGGAGGGGCTCATCAAATTTGCTGCAGAATTTTCAGAACTCTGGGGGATCAATGAGCAACTTGGGGCGTAATTTCCCTGGATTTTGCATTCTAAATTGCTCAAGGGAACAATAGTAGGAGTCTCAGGATTTCCTGGATTAAGGTAACATCTTGGAGTATTGTTTCTTTGACTCCTTGAGGTTTTTCTAGGAGTGCATCCCAAATGCAAAGCAGCTAAAGTGCAAGGAAAACATAAGCCAAAAGACAAACAAATTTCAGCACATTTATGCACTTTGTTGTGATAGATTACTAAGTTCTTCTATTCAGTATTTCACAGTAATGGCAAAACCTCGGTGGTAAGTTTCCACTAGGAAGTTCAAGAATCAAACTTTACATTTCAACAGTAGTAAACGTAGAGAAACATGAGTAGAACAAAAACTCCCACGTAGAAAATAGGCATTTTTGCATATAAAAACTGAGAATAAATGTCTAGTTGTATACCTTCAATACAGGGCTGAAGGAGGACTCCTGTTTCAGTACTCTCATCTCTCCTAATGATGGTGTTGATAGCATCATTTGCTCTATCCCAAAGTGTGTTCAAATCCACATACTCAGCCTGTCATAACAAACAAAGCACAGATGAAAACTTGAGAAAATAGCCAAACCAAAAAGGGCAGAAAATAAGAGTCTTTAACTGAAAAAAAATAAACCTCAGAATTGGCTTTGGAATACATAATTTCTTCAGCTTTTAGCACAACAACAGGCAGCTTTTCTTGCCATTCTTTGTTTTTCCTGGTGGATGGGCTATGAACTTCATTCACAATTCTGCAAAAAGAAATAAAAGGGAAAAAAAAAAACTGTCATAATACATTTGCATTACACAAATATGTTCCAAAAAAATGTCTGAATTCTGTCCCCAGAAGAAGAAAATGGTACCTAAAAAGTTCCTGAATCAAAGAACCTCTAAGGGGCAGGTGCCTATCACTGTGCCAAGCTCTTCTAACACATTCATAAGGTCTTGGTCCTGGTCTTGGCATCTTTTTCCAACAACATGCAAACCTTCAAAGGACCAAAGGTGAAGAAAAAAGCAGAGAGTATTCTGTGTAATCAAAACAAAAAACAGTTATGTGTACTGCCTGGGTTGGTTCTTGAAAATTCTGTTATTTGCTGATATTATTTGAATGGAAAAGCCAAAGAAAAATTGCAGCCCACAAAATGAAAAGACTTTTCAAAGAAGAAACATTAGCAGCTGCAATGTATTATACTAATATGTGTGTATGTGTATGTGTGAAAGAGCTGCAGTGAAGTAGACAAGAGACAGAAGGAGGGACTTGACCTGTCTTCAGTTCATACAGTTCCACCTATTAGTTATGTATTATTATCAAAATTACATTTACTAGCATTAAATCACATCTATTTTGAGCAATTTTCATCAAAGCGATACAAATTTGACACAAAAAGTGAGAGGGATGATCTCGATAATCACATATACTTTGTGCAGTTCACTTTCTTTTCCTGTCATTCAAAGAGGACACACAGTAACATACAATAATTCATTCAAATCAAATGGGGGGAGTTGCTGTTTGGATGGGGGAGTGTATTTTGAAGTGTGTCCCCCACATATCCACATGCCCTCCTCCCCCCTGCCTCAAGGGTCTTTTTCTCTTCTTTCCCCCCAACCCCCACCATCACCCCCCACTCCTCCCTTCTCAATCTTTTTCTGACCATTATGCATTGAATAATACTTACATACTAACAAAACCACAGAAGCAAGGATTTTGTTATTGCATGAAAGTTTGGTAAAAAAAATATTTGTGAAGTCACTGTTAGGGTGGGGTTGGCATCTTTAGCAAGGAAGATGTTAAAACCACATTTTGTTTAGGGGACAAAGGAAGCATTAGGATTGGCCTATTAGGCATGGCTAGAGGGGTCCTGTTTTTGACAGTAAAGAACTGGTTAGATGTAGACATTATTAATTGCCAATAATCATAAGCTGTTTCTCTTCTTTGCCCTTTTTTAAAAATATGTTTGTAATCATCCACATTTTGATGTAGTATCATTACTTAGTATTTCAAACAAAATGCTACGCTACAAAGTTTTTAAACCAAAAGTATTGGCCAAATTTACACTCTAACTTTCAAGAGCTTCAAGATGATCATAATGCAAGTAGTGTAGTATTGATAAGCATGATTGCCTTAGATTGGTGGTTCCATGTTTCCGAGTTTTTCGAAACTATAGCTTTGCAAATACTTATAAAACACCTAAACTTTTATCACGCAATTAGAATCTACTAGTGTGATCATAGGCGCTTTCGCGTGTGCCCACTACAATAATTATCACTCTAATCTAAATTTAAGCATAAACAATTTTAATATTAACTAAAAGTGTTAGTTCCATCATCAATTATAGAAAGGAGATAAATACTTGCTATACAATTATTCTTTTTTTTTTAACAAAGAGAAGAATATAATGCAATAATTCATATACTCATGTAACAACTTCACATGCACCAAAAAAAAAAATTAATGTGATAGTCAAAGTCAATATCAACATAACTGAAATGCTTTGAATTACCTTATACACTTCATCCACTTCTCTCAGTCAGTCCCGTTAAATGTATTTATAAACAAAATTTTAAGGTTGAAGGGAGTACAAGACAAGATCGAAAAGTTTAGAGTAATTTTCGGATAGTTGATTAGGTTCAAAAGAAAAAGTAATAAAAAATATTACAGTTTTTTTTTTTTTTAACTGTGTGAGATGGGAATGGAGATGGGCATATGATCTAAAAGAGCAAACATTTGTGCAAATCAACGAATGGTGTTAACCATTAATAGCAGTCCTAGAATTAGAACATTCGGCAGTCAATTATGATTGCAATCATGATGGTGCCCAACAATTTATGCCGTTTCATTTGTTATCTAACAATTTTGCATCATAAATTTTGCATCTAGCGAAATATTTGTGAGAATTAACTAAAATTATTTTAAACACATAGAAAATAAATGGTAGGCATACATAGGTCATATGGTGTGTGGATAATAAAAAGTCAAGAGTAATAATAGTATTGAAGTTTTTTTGAAAATAAATAGTGTTAAAGTTACAATTTGGAAATAATGAAACTGATGCTAACTTTTCTACTTTTCATTCGAATATACTATACTAAACAATAGGAGAATTTATTAATTAGTTTCCATCTTTTTTGTGAAACATTTCAAGTTATATGGCTTATTAATCACCAAAACACATACCTTTGAAATGAAACCTTCATCCTCTTTGATTGACATTAATTTTTAATAATAACTACATAATATTAATTATATTAATTAAAATAATCAAATGATCTCTCCATTTTCTCTCTCAAAGAGTTAATGCAAAAGAGTACTACCAAAACTTAACTATTAATTAAATAATAATTATATATAATTAATTAGTATTAATTAAAATAATCAAATGTCAGTTTTTTTTTTCTTAATCACTTACTCTAAGTGTATATTACCAAACCTTTGTCCAAACTTGCTTTTTATATATATAGTTAGATAAATGAATGCATAGAGTTTTGATTGAGAGAATATTAAAGATTTTAAACGTTTTGCTTAGTTTGTTGATTGTGAAGTTGATATAACAAGGGACATAATTTTGAATATATGTATGACCGTCTCTAAGTATTCTTATAGTTTTGGTGTTCCTTGTTAGCGCCTCTTACAATACCACCTTAATTTCACTTGAGCCTGTCTCCGGCAGTCTATACCTAGTGAATACTTTATGTTTGCTCTCCCCGCATAATGCTACTTGTACTGCAGCAATGTCATCACAAACTGTGGAGATTTAGTACGTATGTGCAGTAGCTATCAAAACTTTATTCTAAATTGAAAGGTACATGCTTTGATCCATTGACGGATTATTTTGCTCAGTGCCTATTATTAACGTAGATAGAAAAATGCTTCCACTTCATGTTATTATAAAATTCTCAATTATCAATTTTGACACCATATAACTTTGACTGAGCTAAAAATAATAAAATGTAAAGATTAGAAAAATAGACATCATCTTAATATTTCTCTTCAGGCACAGAACAAATTTCATCCATAGAGAGAGTTCCTTAATTTAAAGAGAGTAGTTTGAATTTACATTAAAAAAGCAGTTTACTATTCTTTATCAGATTGAATCGCATTCCGAATAAATTTCAGTATGTGCAACAAGACAAAGAGCATCTGCAAGTTCAACGGAAGTTTCATGGAAAATTGAGGAAAACTAATTATATATTTGTCGGAGAGAATAGATGTTTTGAAAGCTAATTTAACAGATTTTTGTGCTTTAAATAGATTTAGAAGTACCAAAATGATGTGTGATCAGGAATGTCAAAACACATGCATATACTTACTCAAGCAAAGTTTATGACGAAGAAATCATACGTTGTGAACTGTCATCGATGGTGGTCGGCCGCAAAACTTCAACGACAACAACAATGGAGTCGGCGAACTCGATGGAATTATTAGAAACTGAAAACAATAGATGGATTTAGCGTACAGTAGACACCGTGGCTGGAAAGAAATGAAAGAGTATCTCCGAAATAATTTAAGCAAAAAATCTCTAGTTTGAAGTGTTTTTGTACACTAAAAGGGAAAGACAATGGGCTGTAACAGAGGGAAGTTTAAGTGGAAGTGTCACAATTGTGTTAAAGCATTAAATTTTGAAGTAATGGTAGGTATTAATTAAATAGTAATAGTTAGTACAAAAAAACTATAAAAGGAATAACAAAAGTCATCTCACGTGGGAATCACACATTAAGGTGAAATTCAAAAAATTTGGCACATGTAAAGGTCTACCAAACCACCAAATTATTTCCCAATTATATATATGTTTGAAGAAGGAAACCACGAACTGGGAGATACTCTTCGCGTGTACTTCCGACAGTCCAAAGTCAGAAAGAATCTCTAATGGACGAGAACTCTAACCACCGCCCTTGAGTTTGCTCTCTCACCAATTTATGTTGTCAAATGTCAAATGTCAACAAAGGGTTGCACCTGCATGATCAAGTACTGGGCTTAAGTCCATACCTTTCTGGGCCAAGTAGTACATAGTTTGTCAATAATAGGCCAAACTTAGATCCCCTGGAACGGGATGATATGAATAGGGCCTAATCTGTACCTTTGAACTGGGCGATATCTTGAACTCAACAAGACAATGACAAGGACATGGCGGTGCTTATGTACCGTAATCATTCAATGGGGCCTTGCTGGGCTCAGTACATAAATTCGAAACTTTGAAATCAGATTTTCCTTAACCATAACCACATAACTAAATAGGTTGGGATGGAGTGGAAGGGATTCCTCCACCCTTAATCATAAGTCGAGGATTTGAACCTCGCCATGAGTATAGAGCAACTTTAAATACTTTGGCCAGCTGTCCTACCCATCGAGGTGTCTATAATTCAGCAAGGGGTATTAGTCACTATTGCCAGACAGTGGACACCCTGCAAATATGAAAAAAAAAAAAAATTCTTAACTATAGGTCGTGGAGGAGTGGAAGGGATTCCTCCACCCTTAACCATAGGTCGAAGGTTCGAATCTTACTTTAAATACTTTGGCCAGTTGTCTTACTCAGGTGAAATAAATTCAGCGAGAGAGATTAGTCACTGTTGCCGATGGTGGACACCGTGCAAATATTAAAAAAAAAAATTCCTTATGAAAGTAATTTTTTTTTTTGTTAGGAAGAATCATTAGTAATGGGAATAAATTTTTAAAAAATCTTAAAAAAGATAGACGAGTTTATTATAAGAATATAGTACTCAACAATTCGTCCTTCAAAAAAGTATTATTGCATTACTAACTATGTTTAACCCAAAAAATTAAACTCTAATTTTGAGACAGGAAACTTTAGAACTGAATCCAGTTATTCCAAGTTTTTAATGTTGACACGAGAAAATTCTCATAGTCATCGGGAACACACAGTCTACAAATACAAACGCACCTTATTTAGTTGTAGTGCATGGTTCCCGCATGTAGGGCACGTGTATTGTAGAGTGTTGAAATTTGCAATTTTGTTGCCTAAAAAAGTAGAATCGATGAATAACTTCACATTCTTTTTCCTTACCTTTTCTCCTCATATATGTTCTGGTGAGTTGCGACTGCTAAGGTAGTAGTACAAAAGAAGTGATATCTTTTTTGCCAATTACGCATGATTTTTGTTCGTTCCATACACAAAGACAAACAAGAAAGGGTTAATGCACAAGAATGTCAATCTCAGTCCACATGAATCACTAACTGCTTTTACTAAACATCATTATTCATTTGCTTACCTATAAAATCTAACTTCAACAGAGATTATTAATGTTTCATTAACTTACCTAATACCACTTTACAAAATCCACAATTAAATTCAATTATTCATTAATCTCTACAATCAAATCAAATCATAGCAGGTACCTGCCTTGTTTGCTTCATTTTTTCTGACTTTATTCCCGGCAATTCATTCATCTCACTTTCTTTTTTCCCTTTTCTTTTTTGAGTTGAGAAGAAAAAGAAAAGTGATTAAAATCTCACGCTTTTTTTTTTTTTTTAAATTTTTGCTCAAATTTCAAAACAATCTCACAAAATCATCATCATCAATCTTCTTCCTATTCCCACCTCCTCGAATCCCCCCATCTATCAATGATCCATCATCTCCATGATGTTGTCTCCATCTCCATTTTCTCTGCTCTGTGCTCTGCTCCTCTGTTTGCCTCTTGCCATCATCTTCACCACCACCACCCCTCCTTCCACCACCACCTCCGCCACCACAGAAACCCCTTCCGCCGCCGTCGTTATTAGTTGTACAACCACTACCATCACTGGTAATAGTAATAATAATAATAATAGTATTAGGATTAGGCCGCTTTCTGCATTAATACTCCCAACTCCAACAACTTCCCAAAAACCCCAAGAAGTTACCAAAGATGCCAACTTTTCATCTTCAACAGCTTCTTTCACTGATTCTACAGCTGCCCAGAACGAAACAGAAGTTGATTACAACGATGAAGAAGACAACGAGCTGTTCAGGTTAGCGGGTCGGGTTAACTCGAATCCGGAGCTATCTCCAGGGAAGAGAAAGAAGGTGGCTTTCTTGTTTCTAACCACCTCCCCACTTCCATTTGCGCCGCTCTGGGAGCTTTTCTTCAACCAGACGCCGAGAAATCTGTACAATATCTATGTCCACGCCGACCCGAGTGGTTCCGGTTACTCTCCGCCGTTCCGGGGCGTGTTTGGTAACCGGGTCATTCCATCCAAGCCGACCCGAAGACACACCCCCGCGCTCATCGCGGCGGCGCGTCGTTTGCTCTCCCGCGCGCTCCTCCACGACAAGTCCAACTACATGTTTGCTCTGTTATCGCCTTCTTGTGTCCCTTTGCATTCCTTCAACTTCACGTACAATTTCTTAACCAAGTCGGGTCGGAGCTTCATTGAAATACTGAAAGACGAGCCCGGCGCGTACGATCGGTGGGCTGCGCGTGGGGAGGAGGCGATGCTCCCGGAGGTGAAGTTTGAGAATTTCCGGATTGGGTCCCAGTTCTTCGTGCTGAAGAGGAAGCACGCTCGTGCGGTGGCGCGTGACAAGAAGCTCTGGTCAAAGTTCAAGCTGCCTTGCCTGAGCACGAGCCTCGGCGCGTGTTACCCGGAGGAGCATTACTTCCCGACCCTTCTAAACATGGTGGACCCCGGCGGTTGCGTCCCGGCTACGCTGACGAGCGTGGATTGGAACGGGAGCTTCGCGGGTCACCCGAGAATGTATCACGGGGCGGAAGTGGGTCCGGAGTTGATATGGGAATTGAGAAATCGAGAACCCAGATACGGCGGGAGTAGTGGTGGTGGTGGCGGACCAACCAACGGGTCTGATTTGGTCCGAAGGCGTGACCCGTTTTTGTTCGCCCGGAAATTCTCGCCGGATTCTCTGGGGCCGCTAATGAGCATTGCCGACGACGTCCTCTTCAAGGATTGATTATCCATCACTGGATTTTTCTTTCTCTTTTTTATTTTTTTCCCTCATCCCAACAAAATTGTTGAGCTTAAAAAAGGGCGGGACAAACCCGTACCTTTTTCCTTCTTTTTCTATTTTCCCCTCTAATTTCTGACTTTGGTCCTTAATTTCCTTTGTAAATATAGACAAGTATAGTATATATAAATTTATGGCCTTTTCATTTTTTGTCTACTGTAAGTTTTACTTTTGGTACCAAAAGTGGCGGGGCAAGAAAAATATTTTAGCGGGGCAAGAAAAATATTTTAGCGGGGCACATTAATACTATCCAATATCTATAAATTAAAAAAATATGTTGAAAAATACATAAGAAGAAGATCAAAGTCATTGTCCAGTTTGGGTTTTTATTTTTAGTTCAAATTATACTAAAAATGAAATCTCAAACTGGACAATAATTTTGGTACAAAAAGAGTATAAGACAATTGTTGTAGCTTAACACCTCTGGGGTTTTTTAAACCCTTGCAATTTGTTTATTTTTTAATATAATGATTATTGTTTTTGGCGAAAACAAAAACAAAAAATCATAAGGCAACCATATTATAAAAGAGGTACATACGCCTAATTTTGATAGTCTTTTGATTTTATTTTTGGACAAGTTTCAAGTATAATTGTAATTTACAAGGCAACTTAAAATAATTATTTCTCTATAATAGCTTTTATTTAGTTTATTAAGGTATTCCTATATAAATAAATTAATGTTTATTGATTGAACCTCAATTAATTAACTATTGAGCTTTAAAAAATTAGTTTACTTATGAGTTATGAGTAGGTTATTTTCCCTCATTTTTCATAATATTTTTACATTTATACAACTTTTTTCTTTTTTCTTTTTTTTGCAATCTTAATGACAAATATCATGGTTTCAGACTATTGTACATGAAATATGCTCTAGAATTTACAAATGTTGTCAATCATAAATCTTTTGTAATCAAGCCCTCAGAGGTTAATTCAGATAGACTAAATAAAAAAATAAAAAAAAAGTTGATTTTGATCAAACTGGCGTTTTGATGGATGCAACATTTTCATTTGAACAAATTCAAAAGGGAGAGGGAGGCAACAAGTTCACACCGTCATGTGAACAAAATGATTGTAATATGGCCCTTCTTCTTCTCCTTTATATTCTTTGATGAGTATTCACTTTTGATTTTAGTAAACAGACAAAAGTGCCTTTTTCTTTCAATTGCCTTTTTACATCTGTTGCAATGGTTCTGCTTCTTTCTTTGTGTCAGAGATTTCTCAATGTTGGAATCTAATGAGCTTCTTGCCTTTTCAATCCACGTATTCTGTTTGAAATTGTGAACCGTAAATTAAAATACTTATACTTATTGAAATGTTCAGTTATAATAAAATTTTGTCAATTGAATACTTGAATTAGTATTTTGATAGATATTATTCTTATTTTAGATCTCAAACAACTCGGTCAAAACTCAGATCCTGTCATCTGCCATTGATATGGAAGCCAACACAAATTACAACCCCTGTTCCGTTTGAGTTAATCAAGCTTTACAAACTACTTCGTATGAATTTTTATTTTTTTTTTAAATGAACTTGGTATAAATTTTTTACTTAAATTTGTTCAACAACGATTAACGCAAAAAAAAATAATATAGCCACCAAAAAACAACTTTACATGATGTGGACTCTATCTATAATTGTTATTCATAACTAATTTGGTGAGATTGTAGCAAAAATATAGAGAAAAGAGGACCAATTTTCCAATGTGTTGATTTATTAGGCCATTCCCAGTTTCCCACACCAAAACAGTAGTGATAGAGGCAGTGAAAATTAATAATAACTGATGTGTACAAACTAATTAAGGGCAAAAAAATAAATTTATTAGGGAAAGATATAAATTCTACGGTTAATATAGTGACTTAATTTATTTAAGTAATTAATTAAATTAAGTGTGTTTGATAATTGATACTAAAAAGTCTTAATAAATTAAGTTATGAACTAATTAAGTACTTATAACTAAAATTTCACTGTCTGAATTAATTAAGTGCGTCTGAATGGCCAGTTCAATTGTGAGCCAGAAAATAAGTGATAGGGCTATCACTTATCACTTATCACTTAATTTCTGTGTAACTCTTTTTTTTTTTCTTTTTTCTTTTTTGTCTTTTTTTTCTCTCGTCTTTATTTTGTCACTTATTTTTACATTATTTTAAAAAATTTTATTTTCTTAAGATAAATTAATTAAGGGTGCTTAAAGTTGAATTTATATTATGTGTATAAAAGATCTCAAACTTTCAAGCTCAAATTAAACTAATTTTAATACATGAAATTTGCTAATAACAAGGTATACACATATATGTAATAATCTAAATTTAATTATATATTGATTATTTACCAAGTGTAACATCTACTTTCATTATATATGCAAAAACTTATTTCAAAATTATTATTTTATTATTTAGAGAAAAATATTAGTTATTTTTCTATTTAAAAGAATTTTGTTTATAATTCAATTTTAATGATATTAAAATTTTAAATAACTTTCAGACATGAGTATTCAGATTCAGTCTTCAGATTTCTAACATCATATTCAGACGTTTTTATCAAACAATGTAAATTCACTTTTCAGATTTCAGACTTCAATGTTAAGTTTAGTGTTCAGATTTAGACTTCAGTGATTATCAAACAAACCCTAAGTCACTATGTATATCTTTTCACATATCATTTTCTCAACAAAAAACCAATTTGTCATTTTGATGAATATAATTGCACTCCCACCATGAATGTTTTTTTTTTTTAAAGATTAATAATGGTTCTCTACTTAACCTTAGAGTGATATATCTTAGAATGATTCGAACCCATGACCTACTAGAAATAAAGGAGGAGATGTCTTACTGCTATGTTGTATCTCAACCATCAGTATCTAATTTTTCACCAAAACCAATATTTTCCTGCATATTCCTCTCTGTCATTTCTTTTTAACAATTTTATCAAATTGCAAAAAAAAAAAAAAAAAAAACAAAACAAAAAAAAAACTCAAGTTTTCTTCATTGAATGCATCTAAACGTCCGTTTTTTGTGTGTTTCTTTTGGCACATAATGTATGTGTACTTTTTTATAATTATCTTTGATTTTAATGTTGTGTATGGTATTTGGTGCTTTCAATATCACATATCTTTGTATTTATATTATTATGTAATTTTATTATTTGGTCATGATTAAATAAATAAAATATTAAATAGTACCATGGACTCATTTATATATCTTAAATATTATATATATATATATACACACACACTTAATTAGTTTTAAAATTTATACACAATAGTTATGAAATGCACATTATTTAATATATAGAGTCAATCTCATAATATCTCAAAATTAACTAAAAGTAAAAGAAATAAAAATAATAAAATTCAAGCACCAACTTGGTGCCATGAACAGTGCCCTGTACTTTGTCACCAAATAATCAAATTGGGGAAGAAATAATTACTCCCTCCGTTCCATAATTATTGTCCACTTTGCCAAAAAAATTTTGTCCCAAAATTATTGTCCAATTTGACTTTTTATGGATCAAGTTACATATTTGTCCTTAGTAAAAAAACATTATCCATAAAATCTTAGTGGTTAAACAATTACTTATGTAGAGGTATATCCGATTGTTTAAGGTAAAATATAGTTAAGTTTGACCAAAAATAAAATCTTTCATTTTAGTAAAATTGGACAATAATTATGGGACGGAGGGAGTACTTTCTTTCTCTCCATTTTTTCTCTTCCCACACTCTAAAAATCCAACTCCGTAGACTTAATATACTTACACATAGAGTTGCACCATAGTAGTAGTACCACTACTAATCTTATTGAATAAATTCAGTTGAATCTCAGATAAAATATTAATTAAGACTCTTTTTAGTTTTTTTTTTTTAACCGAAAATCTTGACATATTGCTGGTTATGAAATTTCTGATTTTCTTACAATTTTTTGAATAATGGGTCATTTGTAAACACCACAAATTACACAGTCTTGATACCGAAAGTCCGGCAACTTTAGAGAATAACCCAATATCATCTTATCAATTTTTGTAACGTTGTCTATAATCTAAATGCATCGCTAATAAAATGTGTCATATATTACCGGAAGTTATTTCGGAGTCCCAATTAACGTGATATATCATCGCTGACTTTTTGTTAATTGTAATTGAATGATTTCCTGAATGGAATATATTTTTTATCCTTCGAAAAACCCCTCGAATCTTTTTCCTTTTTGAGAAAATTTGACTAAAGGACGGTAAAACAAGTCAAATTAATAAAAAAGGTATGACCTTAAAATATTTTTTATAAAGAGCGGTAGTTTAATAGACATGTTTTGACTTCAAATTCTACGGACACAAACTCAATTATTCTTACATGTTCTATTGTTCTTTAGCCAAATTTTTTTTTTTTTTCTGTGAAGTTCCAGCTAAACTCATAAGTCATAGTTCCATGGAATTTTATTATCTATATACTATACTAAGGCAAAAACCAGAGAGAAAAAACTAAAGGCATGGAGCACATGCCACATAAGATTAAATCTTATGTGGCATTTTCTTAATTTCTTAGACTTAAAAATGCACAAAACAAAATAATAAAACAAAAAAAGCAACTAAAATAATTAAAAAAACAAAATAATAAAAACCGAACCCTTATTTTCATGAACCAAATCCTAACACAGAGATTGATTGGAGAGAGTACCAAATCCTAATAAATTTTAGAGAGATCTGCATAAACCTTATCACCAGTGAATTTAAAATGTCATTTAAAAAAAATAAATTTCTGTAAATTCAGAGGTAATCATGTATAAAACTGAAATCATTACATATTTTATAAAAATACAAAATTTATATAAAAATATCTAAATGTGTATACCTTCCCCATCCATCGGATGGGTGTAATATCTAATTTCTACTGATGCGGACTTAATTTTGTTAGACCTTCAAAGTTCAAACCGACACTCTTGGACTTTGGTCATAGTTCGCCTGGACTTCCTGCACAAGTTATTTCTGGGTGAATTGTGGGCTTTATATTGGATATTCTTGGAACTATGACCCAATTAAAATTGTCCTTAACTGGACCCCACACATAATTTTCCATTACCGACCCACCTATAATTATAAACTTGTCAATTTCCACTCCACAAGTCGGCAAAAGACATGCTTGACAGCTTTTTTTTTTAAAAAAAAAAAAAGACATCGGCATAAATCATGATAAATAAGCTTGTAAAAAAGAAAATAGAGAACGGCATAAATCAGGAAAAACAAGCTTAAAAAAAAAAATTAGAAAAACATAGTTCTACAAAATTATAGAATTTGAAACCAACCAAAGTCAAAATAATAAATAGGTCATTATCAAAGCCACCGTACAGATTGGGCCGGTGTACATTTCAGAAAGCCACCATTTTAGTCGGTCTGTGTTCATTACCTTTCCTTCTTTCTTTTTCCCTTTTTTTTTTTTGGTATAACTAAAACATTTTTAACACGCATGATCCAAGATATATACATATATATATAGATAAATTTAAGTTACAATGAAAAAGGCACATACCTAAAATAGTTATACTTCTATAACTCTTCCAAGAACTCACATTTTCGAAACTCTTCCAATAAATGGTTGTATGAGACAAATTATAACATTTGTAGCAAAATTTACCTTATGGTATAGGTAAACTTATGAATTGAGTGGTTGTGGCCTTGTGAGGAGAGGGAAAGAAAATCATGAAAAGGACTCATAATCATGTTGTCAAAAAAGACTACTTTTTTGGAACTAATGGCGTGGAAGAAATACAAGTCAAATTAGGAGGAAATTTGGCAACTTGTTGATTATATTAGTAAAAATGGTAGTAATTGGAGTTTGACAAGTAAGAAAACTTTGTAGGAGTAGACAATGGCATAAAAACAGAGCATCATGGAAAAGATAAGAACAAATACATGTAGTAATAGTATTTATCTTATAAACCCTAATAAGTCACTCGTCATCTTGGATGATGCATGTTAAATAATGTTTTAAATGGACGATTTTTTTAAATCTTCCATTGAAAAGGAATGGTTCATTGACACCTCACCTCATATAGACCTCGTAGCTTCCATTTGGGTATCACATTAAATCTGTGTCAAACTATTTGCAAACTATACGAAAGAGATGTTTTGGTTTGAGTTGCACATTCTAATAAAACTCAACGTTCTCTTAGTATATAGTCATATATAGTCATGGTATTTGCAATATATTCCCTCTGATCCTTAATACAAGATATTGATTTCACGTGATACATATTTTTAATTGACAAAAAAAAATCTTAAAAATATATTTTCATATTCGTTGTGTTCTCTTGATTGTTATGAAATATTTTTAAGACTTTTATTAATTAAAAATACGTATTAGGTAAATTTTATGACAAATCAAAAAACCTTTATACTAAAGATCTGAGAGAGAGAGTAGGTAAATGATACGAGCAAGTAGCAACCATGCACCATTTTTTGCAGCATTTTTCGCTGACCGTCGGTGCCACTCAAGTGGTCACTCAAATGATAAATTTGAATGGTTACAAAGTTCAATTATTCATGTCCGGCAAAATTGTGCGAATGGAAATTATTCAGCGAAGATGATTTAGTAAGGTTAGGAATCTTGTATTCAGAATCAAGTAATGAGTATCATCAAGACTAAAAAGAAAATCAAATGTACTCTGCTATTTCTTTTTCTTTGTGATTATTAGTATTATTTTTTTTTGGAAGGAAATACTCTTACCAGTAGTAACTAGTAACTTGTTATGTATGGGTATTAGTAAATACAATAATTTCCATAATTATGATACTAATTGGTAGTATTATCAATGTCCATAATTATGAATAGGAACTATATATTCTCGGAATTTCCTAAGTTTGAAAAAATAAAGAAAGAAAGAAAGAAATAGAAAGGAAATGCCACAAAGTAGCCAACCCAACTCCAACTCAATGTCCGAAAGCAACCCACTGGGGGCCACTTTCCGACACACTCCCAACAGCCATCTTGAGATCAAAATCCAACGGCCCACGTTCTCCCGGATCCCAACCCCGCCATTTAAATCCACTTCATCAAATTACTCTGCATTCCTTTCTTCCTCCTCCCTTTCTCCCCCCCTTCTCCTTTGCCGGATTCCATTTCCAACAAAATTCCCGGAGTAAATCTAGATTTTCAGAGAGAAATCAGGGGCGGACCCATCTCAATATTCTCCATACCCATCTCTTTAACTCGATTTGTTCCTGTAATAAACCTCCATAGTCACTGTCTTTTTGAATTCACTTTCTCCTCTGTTTTTGTTTTGAGTTTTGATGAGTTTATTCTGCTTTTGGCATTATTGTATAGAGACACCAAGAGAAACCCTTTAGTGTAAACCTTAAACATACCCCCATTAGCTAGATCTGTTTCTGTAAAGTCTTAATTAATCAGTTTTGATAGCTCTATTGTGTAAAGTTTTTCTCTTGTTCTTCATAGGTTTTTGAAGAGTGATTTTTAGTTAGTTCTAGTTCGAAACTTCAGATCATGGCGCCGAGCACGATTCGGAAGGCGATCGGGGCGGTGAAGGACCAAACCAGCATTGGGATAGCTAAAGTAGCGAGCAACATGGCGCCTGAATTGGAAGTCGCCATTGTTAAAGCCACGAGCCACGATGACGACCCCGCCGGGGAGAAATACATCCGGGAAATTCTCCATTTAACTTCCATGTCCAGAGGTTATGTCAACGCCTGCGTGTCGGCGGTGTCCAAAAGGTTAGGGAAAACCCGTGATTGGATCGTGGCCCTCAAGTGTTTGATGCTTATCCACCGGTTATTGAACGAAGGTGACGTCATTTTCCAGCAGGAAATCATGTATGCTACCAGGAGAGGCACGAGGTTGTTGAACATGTCGGATTTCCGGGACGAGGCGCATTCCAGCTCGTGGGATCACTCGGCGTTCGTTAGGACTTACGCGTTTTATTTGGATCAGAGGTTGGAGATGATGGTGTTTGATAAGAAGCAGCAGAGTGGATCTACACCTGGTGAGGATTCCAGGTGGAGATCGCCTCCGGGTCCTACTAGAGGGGGATATGATTATGATTATAATGAGTTTAGGGATGAAGGTAGCTATGGAGGAGGAGGGATGAGGAGGACTAGGTCCTCTGGTGACGTCAGGGAATCAAGGGATGAGATGAAAAATGTAACCCCTTTGAGGGAAATGAAGCCGGAGAGGATATTCGCAAAGATGGGGCATTTACAGAGGCTATTGGATCGGTTCTTGGCGTGTCGGCCCACCGGTTTAGCTAAGAACGAGAGGATGATTTTGGTGGCATTGTACCCTATGGTGAGGGAAAGTTTCAAGCTCTATGGTGATATATGTGAGGTTCTGGCTGTTCTGTTGGACAAGTTCTTCGACATGGAGTATGGAGATTGTGTGAAGGCATTTGATGCTTATGCCAGTGCAGCAAAACAGATTGATGAATTGGTCGGTTTCTACAATTGGTGCAAGGATATTGGTGTGGCCAGGTCATCTGAGTACCCAGAAGTTCAGAAAATTACCAGTAAACTGTTGGAGACATTGGAGGAATTCTTGAGGGATAGGGCTAAGGCTGGAAAAAGTCCTGAGAGGAAAGTGGAGGCTATTGAGGAGAAACAGGAAGAGGAGCCCTTGCCTGATATGAATGAGATTAAGGCCTTGCCGGCGCCAGAGGATTATAATCCGGCCCCCCCACCTGAGCCCGAGCCCGAGCCCGAGCCCCCTAAGGTGCCTGAGGTGACTGGAGATTTAGTTGATTTGAGAGATGATGGGATGAGTGCTGATGATCAAGGGAATAAATTGGCTTTGGCACTGTTTGCTGGGCCTGTATCTAATAATGGGAATGGCTCATGGGAGGCATTCCCCTCAAGTAATGGAGATGACGGGGTGACATCAGCTTGGCAGAATCCAGCTGCTGAGAGTGGAAAGGCTGACTGGGAATTGGCCCTTGTTGAATCCGCCAGCAATTTGTCAAAACAGAAGGCCGCTATGGGTGGTGGGCTTGATCCATTATTATTGAATGGAATGTATGATCAAGGGATGGTTAGACAGCAAGTGAGTACTTCCCAAATAAGCGGTGGAAGTGCAAGTAGTGTGGCATTGCCAGCACCTGGGAAGACACCTGTTTTGGCTCTACCTGCACCGGATGGAACTGTCCAGGCTGTTTCACAAGATCCATTTGCGGCTTCTTTGAGCATTCCACCACCTCCATATGTACAAATGGCTGACATGGAGAAAAAACAGCAATTTTTAGTGCAGGAGCAAGTTGTTTGGCAACAATATGCTAGCGAAGGAATGCAAGGTCAATCTAGTTTGTCCAAGATTACTTCCGGAGGATACTATGCTGCTCCTCCAGTTGGGCTGCAACAACCTCCAATGGGGATGGTTCCCTATGGAATGCCTCCCACATATGGAATGGGAATGCCACCAGCTGCTCCAGCAGGGTATTACTATACTCCAATTTGATTGTTTAGTTGATACAGTTTTTTGTTTTTTGGCTTAGATTTTTCTTTTCCACTGTATTTTAATGTGACCTTATTCTTGCAATTTGTTGATGATGCCAATGGTGGTAGAGAGGAGGGAAAGGGGAGGAATAGTAGTATTCTGATATTATGGGTATGGAGATGGTTAGAGAGGGTGTTTGATATGTTTTTACCTCTTGCTGCTTCCTAATAGTAGTTGGAAAAACTCTTGGCATTATTCTATGTTTAATTTGTGATACCATTGGTGTTTCACATTGATATTCATTCCATTCTTTACATCTAATCTTGTCATTGAAATAATTTTGTTCATACTTGCTGGTTGGTCTGTCAAAATTTGATGAGTAAAAATGTTAAAATTCCCGTCTTGTTCCATTCTAGTGGTCTGGTTTAGAGTCTATATTTCATGTGCATATCGTTATTGACTGAATTTGGTTTTCTTTGCTTGAGTAATTAAAACTGTACTCAAAATGGTATATAATGATGTTTATGATTGTCAAAGGGCACGGAATCAATCCTCATAAATATTATAACCTCAGTATCGTTAGTAGATGGAAACATTTGTGTTGTTACTTGGGGCCATTAATTTAGTGATTACATAGAAATTTTGAGAATTTTATTCTTCAATTGACCATATGGGATGAAGCAAAGTTTTTTGCTATAATCCTTCTTGAAATGCATTAATGCTTTGTGTTACCTTTGTTTCCTTGGCTATAAATGCAAAGCTTGCATGCTCTGCTTCATTGGGTCTTTCGTGAATGATGAACCTCCGAGCTTAGTTGTTTATTTTTGGAATTGAGTTCGATCTCCAGTGAGGACTGTTTCTGACCCTCATATTGGAATTCACTAAACACGGTAGCTGTAATCATAAACAATGATGTAGAAACAGTGAAAAGTGATTCAACCTTAGGTGGCATTGGAATAATCTGTGAGTTTATTTTCTCTCCAAACTAATGATTGATGAATACAACAACATGAAGATTGAAGAGGTGTTGAGTCTGTGCTTGGAAAACTATGGGTGTGCGATTAGATGGAATAGATGCCTTGTTCCCTCTTTACTAGAGATACTTTAACTTATGTCACCAGATACTGTGTCATTTACTATTTCCTTTGGTTCAAGTGAGGTTAAATTTAAAGTCCAAGTAGGACTCTGGTTCCTATCCAAACTTTTAAAGCTTTTTTTTAATCCAACAGTTGTTGTATATGGGGGATCTAGACTGTCCATCAAATAAAGTTTTCAATTTTATTTCAACCGGTTTGGTTTTGTACAAGTATGTGTGTCAATATAACAACATATGATCCACAAGTAACATCATGTTGATCTGAAGTAATGCAGGGTTAATATTTTGAGAAAGGTGTATGAATGATCCTTTTTGGAAATGCATTTGTGAAAGTGGAAATTCAATGGACGACTAAAAATTGATGAAAGAATGGAAGTGTCCAGTTCGGTTTGTGTTGGGAAGGAATAGTAGTAGAAGCCAGGGAGTGAGAAGCTTCCAAGTCAATTGTAGCGTACTAACTTTTGATTCCTGCTGCCCTTCCTGTTTCTCCATTCCTCTTTGGTCGATTTGGGATCCCTCTTTTCCTCTGCTGTTTGTGATCAAATGCTTGATTGACAGCAAATACAAACAAAGCTAATTTATTCCACAGTTCTTATGTGTTATCCAAACTTTAGTAAATTGCATCCTCATTGGTCCTGAACCTTCTCCTACACATTCTTTTCTCGCTCCTGGACGCACAACCCTTGTGGAATCTGATCAACTACGCGTCAACTCGTGATGAATTTTCTTTATTTTTATTTTTATTTTGGTTTTAATTGGCTGCCTACCCTCAAGACAAAAGTCCAATGTGAACCAAAAAATAAACACCGAAAACGTCTGCTAATTAATTGTGAGAACACATGGGATTTGCTCATTTGCAGCTGTCTCACAATTATGAAGAAAAAACCTTTTGACTTAAGAGATAGATTGGCTGACCCTGGAGGAAAGGGCGCGTACTCTATATTACTCTCTCCGGTCCTTAATATAAAGTATTTTGATTTGTCTTAGATTTAATTTAGTACATATTTTTAATGGACAAAAAAACCTTAAAAATATTTTATAACAATCAAGAAAACATGATGAATGTAAAAATATATTTTTAAAGTTTTTTTTATCAATTAAAAATGCATACTAGGTGAAACTTAAGAAAAGTCAAAATGAGGGAGTATTATTTTATTGCCCGGATTATATAAATATCGCTTAATTGATTGGTTTGGTTGGCAAAAATGGGAATGGGTTTGAAAACTTGAGATATTTTAAGAGGGCTATGGTTATGGGAGTTCGAATTTTGCCGATCACGAAGTTTGTCAATTACGTAGGTTAGGCTGTTTCAGAAAGCTCTGGAGTTGGAATCTTGTTAGTGATTGAAACTGTGTTCTCAGCGAGGGGAATCTACTGGCATGCGGGGAATTTCTTCCAAGATCAATTTTCCCCATTGGTGAAGCGGACCACTAGTTGAAGTGGCCAGATTATAATGTTATGTTTAGTAAATCTTGCAACAATAATGATGGTGCAACGCCTTTTCTAAAAGCAAAATCTAGCGATAACAATGTTTAAAAAGTAAATGGATTTCCCTTTTTTGATTAAAGTGTATATTCCTTGTTCTTCTTACATGCTAAGAAAACTAGAGTAATACCATCTCTCTAAAAAGTGAAACCTTATTGTGAAGAGGTTGTTCGTTGGATTATTGGCACTTTGAGAGGCATTTGTGTAATATGTGTTTGAAACGGATTTAGGGAAAATTTAATACCTCGTCGGTCACAATATGATTATTTTGATACAAGAAACACGACTATAATTTTGGGACAGAAGAAATAAAATAATAATTTGAAAGCAAAAGTAGATTAAAAGGCACCAAAGAGAACATTGCCAAATGCCAACCAAAGTGGGTTGAAAAGCAGAAAAGAGAAAATGACCACAACTTTCCTCCACCTGCTCTTTTGCTTCCGCCCATTTTTTCTGTTCACCTAATCCTTCTTTGTATTTACTAATCATTAATAACCAAAATAAAATAATGACAGGTCAACCATTTGGGCTGCTGATCCCCCCTTGTTTCATTCTTTTATCATTTGGATTATGGAATTCGGTGGCCCAATGGACTTTGGAACGATAGGGGCAGGTGATCAAATTTCTACCCTTTCTTGTTTTGGGTTGTACACTCTCCGATGTTGATGGCGTGAGAATATGATAGCATTTTGCAGTTGAGATGTAAGTAGTCTGCAGCGGGACGATCAAGGCAGAATCACTCTAGTAATGTGTTCTATAGAGTACTAGTACTAGCTATAATGGACCAAGCATGGACGGTGGACATCCTTCATATTGACCGTGAAGGGAATACAGTAGCGGGCTCTCTAGCTAAACTGGGCTACTCCACTCCTGAGAGTTACATATCCCCTCGTATAGGACTAGATAATCTAGTGCTTGTTTGTACAACATTTTGTTTTAGTTTTTAATTTTAATTTGGGAGGAGATTTAAAATGTAAATTAGTTTTTAATTTGGAAAAGTATTATAGTATAGTGATAATTTATTAAATTAAAATAGTTCAGTGACTAAAATGAAGGCTTTACAATAGTGTAATGATCATATACAAGACTTTACAATAATTCAGTGACCAAACACAAGACTTTACAATAGTTCAGTGACCAAACGCAATAAGGACTTTACTATAGTTCAGTGACCAAAATAAAAAATTTACAATATTGTAATGACCAAACGTAACATGTCAAAAGGTAAATTAAAATATTGTTTGGATAATGTATTAAATTTTGTGTTTAAAATGTAAAATGAGATAAAAAATAAAATAAGAGGTCGGACAAACAAGGTCCTAACTTTTGATAGCCCAACTCATACCTACGAACTTGTTTTGTAATCTAAGCTGCAAACTACCCAGTATATATATAAAAAAGCAGATATAGAGAGATGTTTTTCTCACGGAGAAAAATACTAGTATTAACTTATCTTTTACGTGTCTAAAAATAATCCACATTCCAAAATTTTTAACTTATTTATACTATAAATACATTATCATATAAACTATTTTTTTGAAATGGACAAAGTACTCCCTCCGTCCCATAATTATTGTCAAGTTTGAGTTTTTATTTTTAGTTCAAATTGTACTAAAAGGGAATTCTCAAACTGGACAATAATTTTGGGACAAAGAGAGTATTATGTAACATTTGGCTAATTAATCTATCATCTCATTTTTCTTACTAACATTTGTGAATCTATTGCCAACTGAAATGTTCTGTTTGCTTCTCCCAAACAATTGATTATTTGAATATGATCATTGACGATAGCAATCTTTTCAAAAGAGCACATTTTAGAAGAAAGCTACACAATCTTTTTCTTACTAGTTGGAAGAAAATTAATTTTATTTAAATTTTTTGAAAATAATTATAGTTGTAAGTTCTCAATCATAAGATCAACGTGATCGCGTGGCCTAATGGATAAGGCGCTCGCCTCCGGAGCGGGAGATTGTGGGTTCGAGTCCCACCGTGATCGTTCTAGCTACTTTTTAGTCTTTTGTCTTTTTTTTTTGAAATGGTCTTTTGTCTTTGAATTGTCCTGAAAAAATTCTCCCACCGATATAACTTGGATCAGGTCAATAAATTTTCTTTTTATCTCTGCCCTGTAACTTATTTCTGTTTGTTTTTCTGTTAACCATTTCGAGATCCATTCCATTAAATAAATTAAAAATTATGAACCTGCAAAAAAAGTGTATGTGCCCAATAAGTTACAATCTACTACTCCATCCGTCTCGAGGTTATTATCCAATTTACATTTTTATTTTTAATTTAAATTAAATTAAAAATAAAAAGTAAAACGTGGCATTAATTTTAGGACGAACGGAGTAAACATTATTCGACAACAACATATCAACAATGCAATATCTTAATAACCTTGACAACGGCAATGTTGTGAAAACAACATTTTTACAGTAGATCATATGCTTAGAGAGTCAGATGAAGAAAAGTATCACAAACTCTATCTTGCTATTAGAAAGATAATTTGACAAATAAAAATTTTATCTTCAAATGTGAAAAACGCTTAACAAATTGGTCAATTTCAAATAAAAATTCGACCTTGATACTACAAATTAGAAAAAGGAAAACAACATTTCATACAGAATCCAACCTTTACAAACCAGCCAGCGTGCATATATGATGTTTTGGCAACCTGCAATGCGGATAAAATTCTGAGAATTTGGCCGGAGAAATCTACATTCCCTAAATGAATAAACAAAGTGAAAAAGCTGATTGTGGTGTTTTTTCTTGGCTGTAACAACCATTCCAAAAAGAAGGGGTCAATATGGGAGGATCCTTAGGAAACGTTGGCTGGGGATTTTCCTACACTTGCAGATTAATCAGTAGCTCTTTCTTTTCTTTTTTTTTTTGGGAAAAAATAAAACTATTTAAAAGGTCTTCAGTTTGAGCTCTTAGCCTTTGCACTTATTACTTGGTCAATCGGGATTTCTAAGAAATGTAAACACAAGAAGGATACACAACCCATTAATTGCCAAAGCATGTGGACAGAGAAACAATTCACGAAGTAAGTGGACCGAATAGGTCACTTGAGATCAATGGTCTCAAAATGATCATATATGATCCATTTCAATTAATCCAATCTTTTTTTTCCCCTCTACTTAAGCCGCATAATTATTGGCATTACATTTGAGTGTCCTTCTTGTTATCTTTTTAGTGAAAAGTTGGAGTTAGAGTTACAACGAGTCACTGAAAATTCAATTGAAATCTAGCCACCAATAGTGACAACACTAGTACATTCATTAGCGTCACATAATTCGAATATCTAACTCAAAATTAATTTGTACTAACGAGAGGAAAAAAACGACGGATATATTATACAACATTTATTAATAGTAAATATTTAGTTTCCACACACAATCAATATACTTTTAACCATATGTATAAACACGTATTTGACCTTTTGATTTCAAAATGAACTTGTGAAATTGACCAGTCAACCCAATCCTAAATAATCATATGACTTTTTCATTCCAAGCTGCACATTGGCCGTACCTCGTAACTCCACATTTGTTGGAGAATAAGGTCGCAACAAGAGAAAAAACATGATTTAAGTAAACATTAACAATATTTCAAAATCTACAAACTGCTATTGTACGTAATTCATCTGAATCTTTTCTGTCTTTTGTTTTTGCCGCTTCTCTTTTCCATCCGAAGCTCATATTAACACCGCTTAACTGCCGCTTTTTAGTATCTCCATCCGTTGCACAGACTCAATAAAAGTGCTGCATGTACGAAATAAGACCCATTGATCAATTATTAATTTACAAATCATATGGAAACACAATTATTAATTTTTCCGTCCCAAAAAAGTCACAATTGTAATTAGTTTTTTGGACAGAAAAAAAATGTACGATTATTTTCACTCTCTTAATGAAACAAAATTTCAATTAGGAGGGTCAAAATATTTGACTATACATGCCGGTTGCGGTATAATTGTCACATAATAAGATGGTAAATTAAATAAGAGGATGCGTACTTCCAGGGAACGTCGCCGACTAGGAGCCAGTTTCCTTGTTTGTCAAGGTAGGAAAGAACGTAATTAGATCCATCAGCATTGTCATCCTTGTTGTCTATAAATGCACCAACAAAAATCAAGGAGAAATAGTTTAAAACCAGTTTTAATTAAACTAATTATTGAAAAAATTGATCAGGTATATAAACATATGGAAGAGAAGAGATGACTTATAGTGTAACTGGATCCAAGATCTTACATTTGGCAAACATGTTGAGCAAACTGTTGGTAAGGGATTGGTAAGAGTTGAATTGCATTAAATCAATCTTTCTTCCAATCACCACTCCTTCCATCTTCACCTTCACAAATATTGAGTTCCTGGATATGTTTCCTCTAAGATGACTGTTACTGTTAGGAGCCCCTTGATGAACTTGTTCACCACCAATATTATTATTATTTCTTCTCATGTAGAAATGGCCGCCGCCATTAATCAAATTCTTCCTCCACGATCTTATAGGTGGCCACCCCACAATCTCATCGTCTTCCTCCTCTTGCCTGCACATCATTTTCCATGACTATATTTAGTAATGCGATTTGAAATGGAAAAATTGTGGTATATTAAAGTAGTACAAATTGTAAAGATCGAATTAATTAGTAGTTTCTCTGTTCCAAAAAATATTTTTAATTTTATTAATGTGCAATTTTTGTTAAGTATTTTTTTTGGGGGTGGGGGGAGAGGTTTAGGATTTTTACAGTAATTTCAATAAATTGTATAATTTTTCTGGAATGGAAATGGGAAAAAAATAAAATAAAATGGGTTGAATCAAAATATAGACTTACTCGGAAGCAATGTAAAGGGTTTTCCTCCTTTCTTCTTCTTCATCATCACCATCACCCTCGTCGCCGTGGTCCGGTCGACGTCCGTTCCAGACCAGCAAAGAAAGCGTCTTTTGATCTTGATCACCACCATCTTCGAATTCATTGCTGCATCTTCTCTTTTTCCCGATCATCATGAGGTTCTCGAATTCCATATTCCGGCCAGAAACACTTTTGACATTATTATCACGATCACGACCGATATCGCTCGCAACTTTTGTAGGAAAATGGGGGGAAACTGAAAGAGCAAGACCCAGTTCGAGTTCCATAATAAGGGTTTTCGATCAAGATATGCTATAATTGCGCGTACGTACACATATATAAAAATAAATAAACAATTTAAGAATGATGATCGACGAACATGTTTCTTCTCAACAATATATAGCCGCTATTAAAGTAAGAGTTTGTTGCAACTACCCCCTTCAAGTTTTACTCTTTTGCAAATTACTCCCTACAAGATCGATTGTTAAATTATTCATCATTTGTAGCAATCGACCACTATTTTTATTTCTCAAGGTAAACTCAACTTTAGACTCCCAGACATCATGAAACTAACATAAAGAGTCATTCTTATAGATTTATGTAACACATGTTTTTCCCATCACTGTGTAAGATTTCAATTAAAGTGTTTTTTAGTATCTTTTCTAAATTTAGTCTCGAAATAAAAACTACACACAGACTGATTATTTCACACACATACACACATTGCAATTAATCATATCCTCATAGCCTTAGATGCTTCATGTTTTTATGTTTATCACTTTAACCAGGGAAAACCTTACCCTAGTATGCCAATTTTTTTCCCCTATATTAAAAGTCTATTTTACTGAACAATCAAAATCGGAAATGTGGAGGTGTGAGATGTTACAATGATTCATTGGATGTGTACATTTGCAAAATATCAAAATTTGAGTGTGATTCTTTGCAAATTAACTCTAAAAGTGAGCTTTTGGGTGGACCCTTTTGAACTAATATTTAAATTGATAAATGTAAATTAGAATTTAAAAAAAAAAAAAAAAGAGGAAGGGGGTGCGAAATAGTCGTCCATGAAAATTGAAGGAGAAAAGGACAGATGTCGGGGGAATGGAGCTTGGGAAAGAGGCAAATGAATAGAAGGATGGAAGAACAGCATTGAAGTTAGGTCGGGAAAAAGTGGAGCACTGATATCGACCCGAGAGAAGAAAAAGAAAAAGGAGCTCCGGGCCGGGCTGGGCCTTTGGTGGAACTAGCTAATTAGCCAGCTCTCGTTACGGTCGTTGTTGGACCGCTTTGCTGTAGCCCACTTTTGTCCCTCTGTCTCCCCACCATTTCTCACCTAATCTTTTCTTCTTTTCTTTTTTCTTTTTTTTTTTTCCCGCTTGGTTACTCTTTATAAACATGCATAATAATCATAGAGTGTTTTGTTATTTCTTATTTAGGGTTTTATTAAAGTCCAAGTTGTTTATATTGCATGTTTTCAGTTTAATATATAGTATTAGTTTAATGCCACGTGATGGACAGTGTAATCGACGTACGTCACCTGCGTCTATTTTGGAATGTTTAATTCACTTGATAGATCCTTGAATTAAGAAGGGTTATAATTATTAATTCACCAAAAATTTAATGGCACAATTTGGTTAATCTCTCCATCTGAGAAATGATTTCGGCTCTGCTTTGTTTTTTAGGATTTTTTCAGTTTAATTTACAGAAAAACACCTAAAAACACACACTAAGAAAATAATTCGAAGCAAATTATGTTTTCGGGACGAAAGGAAAGGGTATTATATAAAAGGTTTTGAGGTCATGATTCCCATCTTTATCTTCATTCTAGACGTGTTTGGGAAAAATAAGGTGGCGAACATAGTCACGTAAACTTTAATGAACTTTGGAATTTGTCACCCTACAGTGAGCGTGAAAAGTAGTTTTAGTGTAAATTTTGACTAAACCACATTATTAGAAACCTTCAATTACACTCATTCTTTCACTTAAATAAGAGCTATACATTGAAAAAGAGGCCAAACAAATTTACTCATTATCTGCAACCGTTGTCGCCTATAGATTGGTTGACCGTCAGATCTTACCTCAAATTTTGGGTAATCGACGACTAGTTTAATTACCAAACGTTGTAAAAAGAAATGTGAAATCAGAACAAAGAAAAATGCAACAGCCTTATCATCGATCATCATGAGAAGGAAGAACAAATTAATTAGATCATATAAACACAATGATCACAAACGTACAAATTCTGTTTGAATTCTTGTATGATTATTAACTTGTTTGGGCAACATATGACCTTAATCTTTCCACAAGTTGAGTTTGTCGGATAATGCCGATCAAGTTTTATCTGAAATTTTAAACTTCAAAAACGATCCAGCAACCATAGTATTATAACCGGTGCAAGTTAAAGACTTGCATTATACTAGCTACTAAACTAATTAAACAACACCCTAGTCTATATAGCCTGACTAGCTAGATTGTGATTAATAATAAACCCTTTTTCTGTATGCTTTGAATTAATTAAGCCCATGCATGATGCATGCAATTATGCTTGCTTTAGTAGATTCTTTGATATGGTTGATCAAATTTATGTTGGATTCGATTTTGTCGGTTTTAGCTTGAGCATATCTGCCCAAATTATTGGAAAGAAGCTAGGTGAAGAGAGGGTTTTGTGGGTTGGAGGAAACGACCTCTAGACAAAGCAACCAGCAACACATAAAAAGTTTGGTTTGTGTTTCTTGCAATATTTCCGTACATACCAAACATACAGTACATCAATAAACATAATGTGATATGCAGTTTAACTACTAGTATAACAATATTTCTTATAATCAATGGAGTCTAATGTTGAAACTGTTTCAACCATGCAATTTAATGAGAGAACCAATCCTCTCCAATATTATTACATTCTAAAAAAGCCAAAGTTCAAATCATGTCCACTGCGATTCGAGTACGAACTATCGACAGTTAAATTGCGTCACTACATAGCATACAACTCTCCAAAATCCAACAAATAACACATGAACATTTATTCTTAAAGTTGAGGAATGCCACTAACTGCAGTATGATGGTTTGAGTATGATCTTGCTAATTGCAATGGTAACATGCAAGGTAGTTGGAATTCCCTAACGAAACTCTCATCGTTGAGGGTTTATTCAAAAGAGAAATCTGACATACAATTCAATAAATAAGATAAGATTCATCCAAACTTATATTAAGTCCGTTTTACTTATTAATTAAATTGCATGTCTTAACAGTTCTGATATAAGATTTTCAAATCTTGTCACACGACACTTCAACATTAATCTACTATACGTACCCTTCATGAATTCAAAGAAAACAGAAAAATTAGATCACGTGGTAGGGGGATTGGGGAGGGGACATGTTAGACCCAAAACTACCATGGTTGTAGGGTTTGGATTACAACATTAGTACTCAAAACCAACTTGGGTTGGGGTTTCATTACCTAAGAGAGTCTCGTCTCGTCGCTGCCGTTGGTTTTCACGTGCGGTGGAACCCTCAGTTCTTCTGGCCCCAACCTCCTCCTCTTCTTATTCTCAATCAAACAATCCTATTCCAGTTCAAACTTTGAATTTTTTTCTTTTCTTTTTTTTTTTTTTTGCAGCGTATATAGATTTGTGAACTGTGAAATCAATTTAATTCCCCCAACCCACCAACAGCTCAGTAAATTACGTACCTATGCATATCGCAAGTTGTAAACATCCAACTCATTTCGGTCGTTCTCAACATCCAGTACACCTTGTTCATCAACGTACAATTAATCCCCCACACATCATGCCGACCTTTTCGCCTCCTATAACTTCTCTGAAATTTTTTTTTGAGAAAATAAGGAATTATATTAAACTTCCTGAATGATACAAATAACTCGGTGGGGAGAACCAAGTTATACCAGTAGTTACATTAGATTTAACAAAAGTAGTTATTACATGAGATATTTCATTTTCTTGTCGCGGAATCTAATAGATGGATTTGAAAGAGAGTTCTAATAATAATTGTTTTATCTCTAACAATACTGGTAATAATAATAATAACTTCTCTGAAAATTATTTACCTTGATAAACTCTAGTGATGATTGATTTACACTAGAAAACAAATTGCTTGCGGAGAAATTCTTGCCATCACAATTAGGTAGTGACATTTCCAGTGATTCAATATTATGAACTCGTAATGGTTCGCTGCTGATCCTTCGTGGGGAGAAAAAATGTGACTTCTACATAGTATGATTGGAGTTTCTTATCTTTGAAATGTTGTTATTTAGTTTTCTAGGCGTGAGCTTTTTTTTATTGTTACAAAAAAAGAAAAAAATATATTGTGAACTTGTAAGATCTATATTTTCTTATGATATACGTGATTGTCCATTACAATTCACATTCCTTTTCAGTATACTATTACTACATTTGACATTCAATTAATTATTTCGGATGTGAGACACGATAATGCATGTATACAACAGTTAGAAGATTTTAATTTTATTTATTTATTTTTTTTTGGTTTGTTACGAAAAAGATAAAGAAAGAAAATGCCAAAAAAGCAAGTACATGAATTTATTCGTCAAGTCTAGAAATCAAGAATGTTCGACCCTATAAAATCACATCTATATATATTGACCATTTATTTTCGCTTTGTGAATTATTCACGATCATTTTGAGTTCCAAATACATATAATACACATTATTTACTTTGTTTTCTGCACTGAAAGGAAGCACAATGTGTCAAAGTCGATGGGTATTGACAGCTGAGTTGCCGGTTCGTTTCACCTACAAACCATACCTCGATCGATTTCGTCTTTGTACGCCTACATACATTAATTGAATCAAATTTTAATTTCTTTGCTTCAAAAAATAAAATAAAATAACATAAAAAAGAAGAGGAGGAAAAAAGAAGGTTGGATTGTCCTATATGGATGTGATCCAGGTCATATGTGGTGTAGCATCTTAGGAGGCCGTATATAGAAATTAAACACCTAAAGTTGGATCCACAAGCGCTCGTACTATTTGGTTTTGAAATTTTACCTTAGCCTAGTTTATGGATGTGTGAAGACTTGTTGTCTCTTTCATTGTACTCTAAAAGAATTGATCACCCTTGAAAGTTGCCATAAATCTACAAAATTTTATTATGTATCCATTAAAGAGCCTTAATTCATACAAAATGGTACGTAGGGTTAAAAAGGATGTTGATCTGGCGAGCTTAATTTGAACATTAATTAATCTTCGAGATAAACACGTAAGAACTATTTGTTCAAAGGTTCATGCATTGACCGACGACATTATTAAGTTTATGATCAAATCCACAGCTAAATTCTCATGTCAAGAAAGTAGTTAGATTGGTTGATATGCAAAGGAGTTGACCAAAACTCTTGGGAAGATAATGGTGTGGACTGTGGACTGTGGACTGTGGACTCAACCCTATAGCTAAGTGTAATCAAGTATTTACGCCAATAAATCCCGAAACCCTATCTTGTTTGCTTTTTCTCATATTAATTGGTCCCCATACAAGATCAAGTAGCATCTTTAATGGCCAAAAGGGGTTTGCTTATATATCCCAACACTACTTCATGGGATTTTGGTCCCCTACTTCGACGAAGATACCATAAATAATGGAGGATCGATCTCTGGTTAGCCTACCCGAATTGGACCAG